TTCCTCCTGGCTGTTCCGTGCCTCAGAACAACATGGAATATCTGTATGCACAGCCGCCGGGACGGAGCACGCCGGGTTTTCACCGGACCGGGCTCTCACATCACCAAGCGCGAAGTGCCGAGAGATATTCGGCGAGTCGCATGAAGGGTGCGCTGCATCCTGCTAAGGGTGTTCGGCATCTTGTGCTTACTTCCTTGCGTACGGATGACAGCTGCGTATGACTTAATTTATTTTCTGGTGCTTTCACTTCCAGAGACAGTTGTAAGCACTGTGTAACTGCCTCGAGGGTGCTTGACCATTTTAACACAACGTGGTGCGATCATCCCCCTTGCGCGGAGTGAGGGTTCTCCACCCCGCACAACATGATCTACTCGACCACCATTATGGTTACCGCCAAAAAAAAAAACGGAGGAAAAAAAAAAACGGTAACCTGGTTGCCGAGTTCACGAAGTGAATTGGCTTGTTTTACAACGTCGTTGCCAAGCGACGAAAACCCAACCCCGATGGCAAACACCGGGGGCGGCGGCGGGAGGAGGGGGGGGGGGAATCAACAAGGATATGGTGTCTTGAGATGGGTAACCCAAAGCTGTACCGCTGGGCAGACGTAGCAAGTAGGACGTGCGAGTCGACTCTGTATTTCCGCTGCTAAAGGCACCAAGCCCAAACAACATAGCGAGCTACGCCACGGCGGTGGTTCCCAGCAGCAGCAGAGGTGTTAAAAGTTGGTGAAAACAGCAAAAGAGCAACCTAGTAGTTAGCACCATTTTGACCGTGAAAAAAAAAAAAAGCCCCGCTGCTGCTGCCGGCACACACACCGCCCAAACTCCGAGTGGGTCACCACCGGCACACCCGCCTGCTCTGCTGCCCTCCTCGCCCAAACTCACGTGCTTGATAGAGTCGAAGTAGTCTATCCGCAATCGGTTCCCCTGCCCCCTGATGACCCCGGTAGGGAAGTAGTAGCGGGCGTGACGATCGCCCTGCATTACATGGTGCATCTTCCACCCGTCCTTCACTGCCGGGGACGGCGGAAGGGGGGGTGTTGCAGCAAAGGGGGGGCGCGGCGGAAGGGGATCCAGAAAATGAAGGACGACGGGGCGACCTCCCATCACCATGATAAGGCTTTTGATACCCGTTCCAAGAACGATAGGTGGGCCTCTTCGAAGGGAACGTGCAAGCCACAACGAACGAATGATGATGCCATCGTTCCGCTAAGTGCATCCACCGCAACAGACGGCCGGGGGCTACAGGCCCGCACAGAACAAAGGGTCTAGATTACGGTGAACACATTTTTTTTCCACCTCACGTTCTTAACAGTGCCCCCGCTGGAGAGAGAGAGAGAGAGAGAGAGAGAGAGATAGAGAGAGAGAGATCGGGGAGAGCGTGCTACAACGAAGTCGGTGAAAAAGGGCCGCGGGACCCCAGAACAGCGGTGGAGAAAGGAGCTGGAAAGCAGCAACACGAAGGGCACCGCAACAAACACCCAGGCGGCCAAAGTACCAGCACCATAACCAGCACCAACACCAAAACCAACAACAACACCAACACCACCACCAACAACAACAACAACAACAGGCGAGGTCGCACAGCAACAGCTGGTTTCCCCGCAGCCCTCGCCCGAAAGACGGGAACGCACGGTGAACAACCAGCAGCGAAAAGAAAAAGAAAGAGAGAGAGAGAGACCAACAAATAAAACAACATACTGCAGGTATTGCGTTCCACAAAATTAAATAACAAAAACTCTGTATCGACCCATACAGCAGCTGCTGTATACCACTGAGTATCTGGGGTGAGTATACCTCCATGCATCACCTAAACAATACTCACGCAGGTGGGGCCACACGTCCTTCCAGAATGCGTGTCTGAGGATCATGGCCTTATCCTTGACCCTGAGGTGCTTCGCCCTAACAGGCATCCGTTTCGCGAGCAGGCTGAACTTCCCCTTGCTGCTGCTGCTGCTGCTGCCGTTGCCATCGCTTTTCGGCGAAGCACCTGAGCCGACGTCGGTGCCGGTAGCGGCGGCATTGCTCTGCTACAGACGGTCACCACAGAACGGAGGCAAGAAACAAGGACATGAAACAAAAATTCGCGCGACGTCCAGAAAAAAAAAAGTAAACGCGAACTTTGTGTCTGTGTGCAGGTTGTGTGCCCTCCTCAAAACTAAAAGTGCAAATAACAAACACTAACATTGGTGGAGTAAGATAAGTATTGAACATTTCTTTTGTTTGTTTAAATGTAAAGACGGTAGTACTATTCTCATGTTCTAATTATTTGGGGGAGGACGTACATGAGCCAATAGCATGCGCACACCACAGGTTTTGGCGATTGGTGATTGACGGAGGGGTACCAACAGACAGATATGAACCTCTTTGTCCAAAAGGAGGGGGGAGGGGGTAGTGCTCAGGGGCATGTGCAATCAATGCTCACCGACACGGGGCACGGTTGTCGTGTATTGTCTCCAAGACGGTACAATAGGTGGCTCAAAACAATCGCGAGCGGAGAGGCGTTCAAAGCTTCCACACGCCGGTGTCGGAGGCAAAAAACAAAAAACGTACCTACCTACCCTGCGATGCACGCGGACGATACAAAGTTCGCGCCTACCCCCCCCCCCCCCCCCCCCCCCCCCCCCCCCCCCCCCCCCCCCCCCCCCCC